ACAGTCACAGAAAACTAGAGGTTTGTCCAAATGTGCTTAGCTAACAAATAAGGCAGCATAGATATACAGTAAGTATTTACTCTGCTTTCAAAGTCCTCACTTTTATTCATAAAGACACAAGAAGCTAATTCATGGTCATGAATTTATACTGTGAAATAAAGGACTGATACTATAATAGATTCAACCTCAGGATTAGAGCCTTGAAAATCCTGTGTATCAGAAGACAAAACAATACAAGACGTCTTAAAGAACAAAGCGTAATCAGCTCCATTATTTTGCTTGAAGGTAGAATTCATAATCCTTATCTTAATAATTTGCAATATTAAACAGCATTTGGAATAGATATCTGGGTGCTTTGTTTTCATGTTGTCGGATATAAATTTGAAGGAGAATATGTACAGGAGATTCCCGTTTTCTTCACTGCAGTGAGAGTTTATATTAAGACCTGTAGACACTGCTCCTGAGCCCAGAATGTATTATGAGTATGATTATACAGCCCATCACTAATGGGGCAGGGGAAAACATTTCCCCCCAGATAAACCTATAGTGGCACACATTACCAGATAGTTGCCTCTTTGGTTTGCTCTCCATATTTTGGGAAATATTTTAGTGAGCATTTCAGATTTGATGAAAACAGCTAAAAATCAGGACTACCTTGTTTGTCTTGAAGTTAAGAGCTTGTAGTAGATAGGTCATATTAGGGGCCACTGGGGTGTGTTCATTAGATTGGACACATAATATGAGCACTGCAAAATATATAGACAAGTGTGAGCTGGGCTTCCTGCCCCACCCAGCAGTCTAGCTCCTTGTAGCTTCATGGAACTAATTTTCAGGCATCTAATACACTCAGGTGTCCTTGGAAACATGACAGATAAATAAACAAGCAAGCAAATCTTCTGGAGTTTAGTTCACAACCAGTAAAGTAACTAAAACATGAATCCAAACATGTGGCAGTGTTCACTCCTTCTCAGAATCATTGCTTGATCTTATTTCTCATTTCCCAGTGTTGGAGGAATAGTCTTCAGAAATCCCCTTTTCTAGTGTGGTCAAGCCCAAGCTCTCGGTTCAGTCATTTCAGTGCCTGATCCAAACTTGACATCAGTAGTACCAGTACCTGGGACAATCATGTGTATGGCTCCATCTTCTCATGCCTTATAAGGATGGAGTACTTGCGTGGGGCACAAGAAGAACTAAATAAAAGGCTGAAGTAATACTAACCACACTTAGTTCTCTCTTTTGCGGGAAGGTAGATTCATTTAAAGAAAGCTGGGAAGTTGTTTTTGAGGGGTTAAGGAGACAGCTTGGGTGAAGACAGTGCTTACCCAAGGTGTAAGCACCTTGAGGATTTGAGTTTGAAACATAAAGCTCACAAGTTAAAAAAAAAGCTATTCAGGGTGGCTCACACTTGTAATCCCAGTGCCTGGGAGGTAGAGAGAGGTGGGTCTGTGGGAGTGTCCTGCACAGCCTGTCTGGTCTATTTGGTAAGTTCAAGATCAGTTCAAGATCAGGTTCAAGAGAGAACCTGTCTGAAAGAGAAGATGTGGTGCTGAATGAATGACATCCCTGGTCATATATACCATGTCCAACACACACACACACACACGCACACACACACGCACATGCACACGCACATGCACACACACGCACGCACACGCACATGCAAGTGTGCATTTGCTCCTGTATGTATTCCTCTCCACACCCAGATGTAGTTTTGAAAACCTGTTCTAACTCACTAACTGGATGAATGTATAAATGTAGATAAATGACCTGTCTCAATAAAATTATAGAATCACTTAACCAAACCTGGTAGCCATACCAAAGGATCAAGCCAACTATGCAGGTTGTTTTAAGAATTAAAAGGAGGGTTGTAGAGACAGCTAAGTAGTTAAAAGCATTTGCTGCTCTTACGGTGGACTGGAGTTCAATTCCGAGCACACAAATGGGGTTGGGGATTACAAGTGCCTACAACTCCAGATCTAGGGAATCTGACTCCATTTTCACCTCTGTGGGCACCAGGATGCACACACAAGTGCACATACGCACACTCAGACACACATGCACATGGCATTAAAAATATCTATCTATCTATCTATCTATCTATCTATCTATCTATCTATCTATCATTGATCTATCTATCTATTTATCTATCTATCTATCATCTATCTGTCTATCTATCTATCTATCTATCATCTATCTGTCTATCTATCTATCTATCAACTATCTGTCTATCTATCTATCTATCTTCATCATCATCATCTTTATCTCTCTCTGTCTCTCATGTGTTAAAAAAGTCTTAAGTAACATCAAACTACTGGTTCACCATGAAAGTCAGCCATGTCCCTTCATTTTCTCAGGAAAGTCACCAGTGCTCTGGGGAGTAGTTCCAGAGCAGCCTGGGATGTGCACCCCAGACATATTCTCTGTGCAGCTGGAGGCTGTGCAGCAGACAGAAGGATCGTGCTCAGTGAAGCCGGTGGTGTTTATGGCTTAAGATTTTTAAAGTGAATTTTGGAAATGTTCCCAGATTCTGCATCTGCCCCTGGCCCTTGCACCTCAGAGGATGAGGCCAGTGAGGGAGACAGCAAGGATAACTAAATTTATTAGGAATGGACAGGCTACTCTATCTTTCAGTACAGCAACAGTAGGCGATCCCATCAAAAACCTGTCTGTTGGCTGGCCTGCAAATCCAATCTGACATACTTACAGCAGCCAGACCCAGCCGAATGGAGGCAGCGCGCTGTTTCCTGAAAGAAATTCAGCCCAAGCCAAATGTTCAACCAGGGATACAGCTTCTATTTCCATCTGAGAGAGAGTCCACCAGCTGAGATTTCCTCTTACAACCTACTTTGACTTTCTTCTGTAGTTTCTCCATTATAAAAATTTTTAGGCAGAAGTTCAGGAATTTGGATTTAATTTTTAATTATGATGGTTTTGATGTGTGGGGAAAATAGTTAAACATACATTAATCTCAATATCTCTCAGCTAACAGGTAATCATGATTTACGACAGGCGTACATCAGCAACCAGTCTCACCCGTAAGCCAACTGTTTACTCCTTTAGGTAAATCAAAGCAGTGTGACATTTGCTTTTCCATGTCAAATTCCACCTCATTGTAATGTATGAATTTACATATATAATATTTATAAAATATGGCATTTTGACAAATTATTCTCACATATTAAATATCTGAGTTTATATAATAATATAAAGCTTACACTTTGTGTGCTTATTTTAGTGTGTGTGTGTATGTATGTGTGTGTGTGTGTGTGTGTTGTTTCATGTGTGTAAAGGTGGGCAGTCAAGCCATGATAAATGTGTGGAGGTCATAGGACAACTTTTGGTGTAGATTCTCATAAGTCACTGACCTCGTTTGAGAAAGGATATACTCCACAGGCCAGGCTAAGTGGCCTGAAGCTTCCTGATGTTCTCCTGTCTCCAACTCCCACCAGGCCTCAGAAGTGCTGGCCTTACAGCCATGGATTACCACCTCTGGTTTTAACTTGCATTCTAGAGATCTGAATTCAGCTCTTCATGTTTACATGGGAAATGTGTTATCCACAGAGCCATCTCTTCGGCCTCCTTGTAATTGTTTTTTAAATAGATATACGAAGTCTGGACGTAAGTCCCCATAGTTTCTGGAGTATACTAGAATAGTGCTGTTTGGAAGTATAATCCATAGAAACCAATGGTCATCTAGACTGTTCTGGAAATTGTAAGGCCAGAAGCCCAAGGCACAGGAGATAAGGCCGTGCAAGTGGAAAGTCTTATCTGATTTGATTTTAAATGTTTCACAGACTTATTCTGGCAGTTTGAATGATATTGGCCTTCATGTTGTCTTATATTTGCATGCTTAGTCCCCAGCTGGTGAGCTGTCAGACAAGGATTTGGAGGTGTGACCTTGTTGGGGGAAGTGTGTCTCTAGTGAGGGAGTGGTGTTGAGGTATCAAAATCCCAGGTCAGACTTTGTCTGTCTGTCTGTCTGTCTGTCTGTCTGTCTTTCTGTCTCTGTGTCTCTGTCTCTATATCTCTGTATATTTGTTTCTTTGTCTCACTGTCTCTCTGTCTCTCTGTCTCTCTCTCTGTCTCTCTCTCTGTCTCTCTCTCTCTCTCTCTCTCTCTCTCTCTCTCTCTCTCTCTCTGTGCCTACTGTCTGAAGATCAGGATGTAGCTGCTTCCCTCAACACTATATCTGCCCATGTGCTGCCATACTTTCTGCCATGATGAAGATGGACAAACACTCTGAAATTTTAAGGAAACCCTCAATCAAATGGTTTCTTTTATAAGAGTGGTCTTGATCATGGTGTCTCTTCACAGTAATAGAACAGTGACTAACTTCCTTTTTACATGTGAATTATTTGCATTGATTTTCATGTTTCCAAATACTGCCTTAACTGTTCACATCAAGTTTTGAAACACTTTTAAATGTTGTGCCTGCACCAGTAACCTCCTTGGCTTTGCCACAGTGCCTGCCTGGAGAATTTGGGTTCCCCAAGACTAGTATCCACCAATGCTTCCCACAGACCTGGAGATATTAAGAGCTGTTGTGGACTCAACCCTAAAGGTGGAAATAAAACAGCCCTCAGATACCTGTAATCCTCTACCCAGTAAGGGCGGATTTGTTTCTTCTGAGTTTTTTCACAAGCTTTGGTGACCACATGCATTCTCAGTAGGCATGAGGCATTTCTCAAGCCTCTTCACAAACAGGATGTAACACGCTCTAGTACAGCTCTAGTACATAACAACAGAGGCTGCCTGAGGACACACTTTGATCCAATGAGGCTGGCTTTCCCCTCTTTCCTTTCCTCCCTTGCCTCCTATCTGCTCCCCAAACAATCCTAAAGGGATGATGTGTTGACACAATCAGGCTACCGTTATAAAAAGGCTGAGTTCATATTTCTATAAATAGCCACCATAAAAAATTTATTGTAAAGAGATATCAAAATAATAGACAACACCTTGGGGCGTAGCACTTCTCAAATAAAAGTGTCAAATACACTTACCTATAAAATCTGGGTGAGCTGTTCTGGGAAATCTGCAGTAACCATCTCCCACGAAGCGGGTTCCCTTTGTTGTAGCAGCCATGGCAGCTGGGAGGAAGGACTCCCTCCTTTCTAGATGGTACAAAGGAGGTGGGCCATTGACTTCTGCAGGAGGAAGCCACCTGATAAGGACTGTAGTACTGTTAACTCCTGTCACCACGGGAGACCTTAGCTGAGCAGGAGCTGAAGGACACAGAAGGACACTGAATGACATAGGTAGAAATACCCTTGTGCACATCACACTTAAAGTCAATTGTGATCACAGGTGTCTACATAGTTCTATGAATGGAAAATGGGATGCAGACTTGATCTCAAAAATGACTAAAGAAAATTTAAATGACTAATAAATTCCTAACTCAAAACATATGCACATTGACAAAGTTTTTTTCTTACAAAGATTTTTATTTTATTTTAAATGCATACATACATACATACATACATACATACATACATACATACATACAGATATTATAGACATTATAGGTACCCTGTTTCCTTGTTTACATACCTGTTGAGTTCAGTAGCTCCTTGCCTGGCTCTTTCTAGATGTCTCTGGATGAACAGAAGCTGACTTTTATGGAAACTGCTGAGCCTCCTTGAACTGTGGACAGCCTACTACCAACACTGCTAATGAAGGCAGAGCCTCTTGTCCTGTCCTGTACTAACCAGGTACTGACCAGGTTGCAGAAATAAGGGACATAGGCAAGGGGAAATGAGATGGAGGGGTGTCCTTCCAGGAGCAAGATGTGGGTGATTTGCCCCAAGTATGTCCCCAAAATGAGTTGTTAATATAGGATTAATGATTTAGGTTGCTCAATGTTTATTTTCTTGTATTATTTTTACAACACTTAGAATTTAATCTAGAGGGTCTCACATGGTAGGCAAACACTCTACTTCCCAGCTACATGCTCAGTTTGTACTTTGTTTTCATGCATTTGAAATGATATCAGTGTGTATTTCATGCCTGGGATATAGTGAGGACCATCTTTATATTCTCTCTCTCTCTCTCTCTCTCTCTCTCTCTCTCTCTCTCTCTCTCTTCTTCTTCTTCTTCTTCTTCTTCTTCTTCTTCTTCTTCTTCTTCTTCTTCTTCTTCTTTTTCCCCTTCCCCTTCCATTTCCTCTTCCTCTTCCTCCTCCTCCTCCTCCTCCTCTTCTTCTTCTTCTTCCTTTTCTTTTTCTCCTTCCCCTCTTCTTCCTCTTCCTCTTGCTCCTTCTTCCCCTCCTCCTCCTGTTCTTCCTCCACCTCCTCCTTTCCCTTCTGCAAGACAGTCATTTTCATGTATAATCTCCTGATTTTTACCCTAGACTTAAACCTGATAGAAATTAAAGCAGACAGAGAAGCAAACACCACTCTGAAAGCCAAACAGAGCATCCAATCTTGCAGGGACAGTGGATTCTAGGTACTGTAATATCTGGAACATGTCTGGACCTGAAGCCACCATGCCGCCAACCATAGCCTGAGACTTGTCTCAGTAATTACTCAGTGACCATTGGTGAGGACAGTGAGACCTGAAACATTCATAGCTCCTGAATAGTGGCAACTCCTTGGAGTCACTAAGAAACTCTACCAGTAAACAGTAATTAAAAACTTTCCATGTCTTCCACTGAAAGGAAATTCTAACAACTGAGTTATTAAAAATGAAGGCCAATGTTCAAGTATGATATCTTCTTTGTTTGTTTGCTTGTTTGGGATGAAGTTTATCTATATAATTCTTCCTGGTCTGGAACTTGCTATGTAGACCAAGCTGCCTTGGAACGCACAACAATCCTTGAGTTGCCTCCTCAACTTGCGTCCTCAGTGTTGGAATTAAAAGAATGGACCATAATGGCCAAACACAGTGATTTCTTACAGGCTAACACTCATCCCTACTTTAAGCATGTAGGCTGAATTAGAACTGGAAGAAAGGAATGCATACAACTGTATCCAAGGGTTTTGACCAAGTACCCAAACTATGTTTGTGGACTTTTATTTTTTTACTTATATTAACACAGCTTTGAAAGAAAAGTATTTCCTGTTTCAAGAAACATAGCGATGTGAGTCCAAGAGCAGAAATCCATAAAGCATGCCAGGAAATTCACCTTGAGAGCATCGAAAGAAATGTTACCATTTATCTTGAGGTGCTGGCCAACTTTCTAAAGAGAAGCAGCCAGCTACAGTTTTATTTTAACTTTGAGATGGAACAGAGCAAAAAGTTCATTGACTTAAATAGAAAATTAGCAATTGTGCTCATCTGCTGCTGCAGGAACTTTATACATGTATGAGTTTTATATGCATGACTTCTCTTGGTACTCTCTGCCAAGACACAGCTAAATGAGATGTTTTCACTTGTCATTCCAATAATCCAAAACAAAATAATGAGATACACCCGCCTCAAACTCTCTGCACCCAGTTTGTGTTCGGAGATGAAACTCTCCTTCATAATTTTCTCTGGCCACCTATGCTTGCTTAAAGGATCAGGTAGGCAAGAAGGCCCATCATTATCTTAGTCTTGAGCTCTACAATGCAAGGAAAAGAACAATTATCGTGTTTTTCTTTAAAATTTGACTTTTTGTGTGTGTTTATTTGTGTGCATGTCCACGTGTTGCTCTTTTCTGTGTGTGTGTATGAGTATATATGTGTATATGAGTGTATGTGTATATGTGTGTATGTGTGTATGTATGTGTGTGTGTTTATGTATGTGTATGTGTGTGGGGCTGTAGCTTGAGAGTGGGCATGGGTCCTGTTGGGTTGAGTTGTGGTTCCCACATCTGCCATCCCAGGAGGCTGGAACCGTGGCTCAGAGAGCAGAACAGGCAGACACTGGGCTATGAGAAGCCACAAAGCTCCACTTCAGGCATGGGGAGATCCTAGTCTGAGGTCCCTCGGGGGGCAAAGCTCTTTGGTTGAAGTACTTCGAGAAGAGGCCACTGGCGGGAGACTGGTGGTCTCAGCCCTTGGGTACCCAGGCACCTCTGAGAGGCCGCAGAGGGACTGAGAGGGGGAAGGTATACAGGCTGGACTGGCTCGCAGCCAAGAGGGATGAGGTAGAGAAGCTCCAGCAGTGCCCCTTGGGGTAGAGACTATTGGTCATGGCAACTTGCTTGGGTTATAGCTGGCTTGGCTATCTTGCTTGAGTTGGTGGGCTCTGTGGCTGGAAAGCAGAGAGGTCCTCTGGCGGGAGATTAGGTTCAATTGGTTCAAGGCCCTCTCTATGGTTCTCCACGGCGGGCTCCAAAGACACAAGGAAGTCCATGGTTTTAAAAGGTTTATTGTCATGGTGAAAAGTGAATGAAGCTGTATCCCTTGTCCTCAGGGTGGGCCTGAGGTTAAATATCTTTTGCAAGGAGAAGCGTCTGAGAAGGAATGCTTAATTGGCTACGTCCTCTGGCCTTTAGGTATCTCATGAATATGGAAATCTCTTGAGGCTCTGTGGCCTGTAGGCACACCCTCTACCAGTGGTACCTGTGCTATGTGACCTAAGGCCACAAACCTTTCTTTGGGAGGGGCTATTGATAAGTGAAAGGAACCAGGGCCCAGGAACAAGGCCTAACTCCTCCCATTTCTTTAGAGTATCTGGGTTTCAAGGCCTGTGCTTGACCAAGTACTCAGCTGCCTCTCATAGCCCACTGTTCCACATATGTGTGTGTATGTGTGTGTATGAGTGTGTATGTATATGTATATGTGTGTGTGTGTGTGTGTGTCTGTGCATATCAAAGGTTACTCTCAGTTGCTATTATGTCACCCAGGAACTCTGCCAACCTCCTTTGAGGCAGGATATCTTACAGTCCTGGAGCTAGGGAGATATCAATTAAACTAGACTTGCCAGCCAACCCCAGGAATACTCTTGTCTCTGTCTGCTGCTGCTAGGGTTCAAAGTGCACACCATAACACCCTCCATTTTCCTCTGGCTTCTGGGTACTGAAATCCACAGGACCTTCTGCCTCCAAGGCAAAATGCTTTTTACTAAGTTGCCCTTGTGCATCTGCCCCTTTATAGGGCAGTGGGCTGTGAGAGGCAGCTGGGTACCTGGTCGAGCACAGCCCTTGAACCCCGGACCCTAATTGGATGGCAGGTGTTTGGCTCTGCTCCTGGACCCTTGTTTCTTTCACCTAGCTTCAGCCCTCCACAGCCCCTCTCACAGAGAGGTCTATGGCCATCAGTCACAAGAGCCTCAGGCTCTCCCACATGTAGATGAGGTATCTCCAAGCTCTCAGACCAAGCCAATAGGATTATCTGCTGCCAGATCCTGACCCACCCCAAAACTGTATAAAAGAGCCCTATTCAGGAGAAGTAAAGGTGTACAAGAATCATTCCATTGTCTGAGAGTTTCTGTGGCAAGAGCTGTAACACTTGGGAAGAGATCTGCTCTCCTGAAGCACCTTCAGGACCCTCCCGTCCCCGCTCACTAACCAGACTGCCTCAGCACAGGGGGACAGGTACAGCATCTGGGAGTGACTGGGTGGCAACAGAGGAGACTTGAGCAGAGGCAGCAGCAGCATAGGTGACTCCCCCTCCCTGCTCACACTCTATCCCCTTGGCCCCACACCTTGCAAGGCCGGAGATCTTCATGGGATACCCTCTAGAACAGAGACCCACACCCCTTCTACCTTACAAACAAGCAAAAGAGAAAAAAGAAAAAAAATAAATGAAAAGAAATGGTATTTGAGTCTTTCTGTTCTCACAGTTCCTGTATTCTACACAGGATTTTCTAGAGTTTAGAGTACATGGACCTGACATTTTAATTTAAAAAATATCATATAGCCTGCTTCCAGTGATAGCCAATAGGATTCTCTCAAATGAGGAAAAAAAGTATTTCGTTATCCATTCTATTTAAAATAAATAGTCAAAGCACAGATAAATGTTAACTTTTCAGCATTGAGTAAACAACATCCTCCTTCTCAAAGCCCCAAGTGTTTGCTTCCTTACAATTCTACCAAGGAAATGGGTGAAAATGTGAAATCATGGGTCAGGCTGCTATTCAGAACCCTATCCACCTTGACAGCACAATTCACAGCACTTCTTAGTTAGAAATATAAATACATAAATAAAATGAAATGAGAAGAATCACTTTTCAATACCTTATAAGGTGAGAGTTCAGCTTTGCCTTCAGTCTGGCAAACAGTTAATAGACAAGAAGGTCACTCTTATGAGGAGAAACTGGTGCAATTAGTCACAAATGTTCAAGCAACTCTATTCATAGA